CAGGGCTTACGAGCGGAGTGACAAACTACAATACATCCTGAATATTGGGTCCTCTGTTGGTGATCTCAACGTGTTTGAAGAAATGCTTGAACCAAATTTTGCTGCTGAACGTGTTTGAAACATAGCCCGAATTGCACTTTGCTGTTGAACTAGAGCCAAGCGAGTTCAATGTTGGGACTAAAGCCAAGAAGGACATGCTAATAGATACTTCTCAAATTTACAATAATTTGCTACACAAAATCTACACCAAGCTACCACAAATGAAGCAACACAATTCCATATATCAAGTCAAGCTGAAAGCATAGCAAATGATAAGCTAGCAACAGAGCCCAAACAAAGAAAGGGAATAGATGATTAGTCCATTGTTAGTCTACTGTAATTTTTTTTTTCCTTTCAGGCATTAGAGATTGGGTTAAGAAATTTGTATTTGCCATTGTCACAACTCGTTCGTATGTTTTCTATATGAATAATTTTTTTCCGTGATAAGAAAATGAACAAATTTTCTAAGTCCTATTATTTATTTTTCATCTTTGTTACAATATAAAAAATGTAACTTTGAATTACTGGTTGTAGTCGTAATGTCTGAAAGGTTACCACTGTAACTGTTTATACTATTTGTTATCCTAGATTGTGCAAGCACTTTGCCATGTATATTCCAGTGATTAAAAGGCGTGCTTGAGTGAGAGATTATTTTTCACTAACTGTAGAGTTCAACTTGGAAGTTTCTTCATTGATATGTTCAATATCTTACCAGAAACAATTCCATGCAATTATACTTTGAATTACTCATTGAATTTCATGTTCATAATATTAATAGACAAAAAGAAAAAAAAAAATGTCTGCTACACACTATTAATTAGAAAAAAAGTCTTATAAATAAAAGAGGTAATATTGAACTAATGGGGTCTGTTACTACAATCTGCTAGTAATTCTATGGAGGCCGCCACAGCCGGGAACAAGAAGCGACAAGCCCCAACATATAACTTATTATAGCGGCAACTAATAGAGATGTTTTGAGAAAGCAAAACAGTAGCATAAAATTCATGTCAATAATAATAAACATCAAAATACCCTGAAAATGCAAATGAAAACGTATCTAAAACACTGAAGTTTCAAAATATGATTCATCTTAAACTATTTGTCCAGGAATATGCCCATTTTGTCTTCTTGCTGCAACAAAATTATCTTCTAATGAGAAGTTGAGACTTCCACAGGTGGCACCTATCAAGAGAAATTAAGGATTATAACATAAATATAATATTTACCCAAAAAAAATAATAAAAGCAAACTTCATATATACCTGCTCACTCTCTTTGCACGATCTTTTATTATGACCACTTCCGCCATATTTTCCACACTTAATCACCCCATACTTTCGCTTAGCTCTATGGGGATCTTTTCCTTCCAATGATGATTTGAGCCTTAATTTTTTTGGTCTCCCTGGTGGTCTTTTCAATAACGGCGGTTGAATCGGTCCAAGATTTGTTTTAGGCCAAAAACCAGGACCTCCTATCGGATTTATTTCATTCTCATAGGCTCGAAAAAAGTAATCCCTCGAAAATTATTCATGTACATAACTTTCTGGCCTATGCTTTTGGAACTTTATAGCAGCACACACATGCACACAAGGAACACCTGTCAAATCCCATATCCTATAAGTAGGGTTGTAAACGAATCAAATCAAAGCGAATACTCAGAGATTCGATTTGGATTCGTTAAGATATTCGAAGATTCGAATTCGTATTCGATTCGTTAACGAACTCATTTTTTTGATTCGTATTCGATTCGTTTAAAATATTCGAACATATTCGATTCGATTCGAAATTTGTTTTCAAAAAAATATATTAAAAAATATTATAATTACAAAAAATAATTTTTATTTTGTATATATTTTTAGAAAAATTTATTAATTTAGGATGTTTTTAAATTTTATGTCATAAAAATATTAGGAATATAACAATATATATATATATATATAAACAAAATGTGTACTATATATAATTTATAAAATTTTTATAATTATTGTTAACGAATCGAATATTCGAATTTCGAATCGAATATCTACAAATTCGAATTTGAATTCGTTTAACTTTCGAATATAAAACATTATTCGTATTCGAATTCGAATTCGAATATTTCGAATTCGAATCACGAATATCGAAATCGAATCTCGAATCGAATAAAAAATGTTTGATTTGTTTACAACCCTACCTATAAGTACAAGAATGATTTTCAAGGTGGACAATATACCTTTGAGGCCTAAGAGAAACCTCAAACAGAACCTCCCCACAAGAAACCACATGCCATCTTGTACTTTCCACAATAAAGTCATTCAACTTCTTTAGTATCTCCGTACATACTATACAACCTTTACGCCTCATTTCTTCTTTTTTATTTCTCATTAATGTCATTGATTTGATTCTTATGTTGTCAATCAAGATATCTACAGGTTTATCTCTATATTTCTTGATCATATCATTGAAGCACTCGACAATGCTACTAACACGTGACATTTAACATGGCCTTGAAAATGTGCCCGACTCTATCTTTCCACACCAATTTTTGTGACATGTTCAAATGCATCAGGCTCCTTATTCTTCATCTTCTCCATATGTTTATCGAACTCGGAATTGGTGGTCGATGTAGCAGCTAACCAGAACAACGATCTAACTTGCTCGTCTTTCCACCTTTTCTCGAAGTTACTATATATGTGACGTACGCAAAAACGATGATATGGAGAAGGGTACACTTCATCCAATGTAGCCACCAAACCCTATTACCAAAGAGAAATATAAACAAATAAAAGTCACTCGTATATCGTTAATAAGTTAATTAAAAAAAATTAAAATAATATTTACCCTTCCTTGATCAGACATGAATGTCCATCTTTCTCCCCACGGATGGATTCTTTTTCTATATCTTTCAACAAGTTTTCTAAAAACCATATACATGTGTCTCTAGTTTCTGATGCAACTACGACATATGCTATAATGAAAAGCCCATTATTTCCATCAAGACCCACTGCTGCAAGAAGTTGACCACGATAGTATCCACTAAGGTGGCAACCATCTATTGCAATAAATGGTCGACAACCAACTACAAATCCTTTTTACAAGCATCTAGTCATATATATATATATATATTCTATCAAACCTCGAAAAACCACTCGCGCCACATTTTGGAGCTAATAATTCAACTGTAGATCCAGGATTGGTCCTAAGCAACTCCTTGCGGTAATCCCATAGTTTAGAGTATTGTTCAGCAACATCACCGTCAAGAGATGAAGAGCATGCGTTTTCACTCTATAAGCTTTTGCAATGCTAATGCTGACTTTATATTTATCATGTACAAGAGCTTTCAATTCCTCTCCCGTCATTGTTGGATGACTTCTAAAGTCTTCAATCACCCTATTACCCAACCATTTTGTATTAGCGAATTTTTATTTCACTTCCTCCTTCTGACAAGTATGGCTATTGATGAAAGTTTTCACTTCATATGTTTTTGATTTTCCAACTTTAGAACAATATATAAGCCAAGGACAGTTGCCCACACATTTCACCCTGCAACGAGAAGCATCTTTTCGCACAAAATTTAAATTATACATAAAATCTTCAATTGACGCAAATATTTTTCCCAACTTAAAGATTACTTCTCCGTTGCTGGCTTGTATACATGCCGAGTCAATTTCTTCTTCACTGCCAGAGGAGTCAGAACAATGAATGCTCCTCAATTCCATCAAAGATTTTATTGTAGCCTCTTTAGATAATTCACTCACTTCATCGAATTGATTTTCGATGATCGCATCAACAAAGGATTCTTGTAGACGATTATTATTCCCCTCACAGGTGTAGTGATCAAAATTCCACTCGAAAAAATCTTCGTCCATCTGGTAGAAAAAATTATCATCAATATTTCCCATCAATAACATATATTTTAGCTATCATATTTTCAATAAAAAATAAAGAAAAGGTGAAAAAAAAAAAGAGTTTACAAACATTGCATATATCACAATACAACAAAAGGAAGAAAAAGCATAAAAAAAAATTATATGGAATCCATAAATACTTGAGTTTACTTGGAAGAATACACTTGAATATATGTCTAGAAAATATCACTTACAATTTTGACGAAAAGGATGAAGAATTGTTGAGGAAGATGGAGCCTGAAGTGTGACAAACAATTTGAATCGAAGATGAAGAATACAAATCGTTTTGCCGTTGCGTAACCCTTACTCTCTATTTAGTTTATTCTTGTAATTAAATTGTTAATTAATGAATATTTAATAATAAGAGTAATATTATTTTAGTAATTTTCTTTTTCATTTCTAATTTGTTGGGAGGAGTCGTTAACGGTGTTAGAACTTTGGGTCTTGAATGGATAGTTTTGATACATATAAGCCTTGTATTGATAAAATCTATCTTTCAAGCCCCGAATTGATAATTATCATATCTTTCAAATCCCATAAAAACTTGCTATAAAGGGAAACAAAGTCAAACTATATATATAATAATAAAAAAAAAGAAGGTTCGGGACTTAACAATTTTGTTTCATTAAATTTCTTTTTTGATCTAGTATCTCCGATTTGAAACTAAAAACATGGGCTTGTTGGCAATTTATTAAACTATTGGGGATTATTCGTTATGTTTCTTAAATTAGAGGGCCTTGATTGAATTTAAATCCAAGTATCTAGCCAAAACCCCCCCGACAAGGGTCTCCAGCAATATCATCTCCCACTCCAACTTCCCCTAATCATTTCCCCCTTCTCAAACCGCTGCCGGAGATGGCTGGGTACAGAGCTGATGATGAGTATGATTACCTGTTCAAGCTCGTCCTCATCGGGGATTCTGGGGTCGGAAAATCCAATCTCTTGTCTAGGTTCACCAAGAACGAATTCAATCTGGAGTCCAAGTCTACCATCGGCGTTGAATTCGCCACCAGGAGCCTCACCATCGACGGCAAAGTCATCAAAGCTCAGATTTGGGACACTGCTGGTCAAGAGAGGTCACCGCCTTTTCCGATCTTATTAACATCATTCGATTTTTTTGTATGAAAATCATAGATTCGTTTGTTAAGCTACTTGTACAGTCGATGTCGTTGTTTCACTGTGTTAAGAATGGATCGTTCGTTTGCTTATGTTTTCTTCATTTTTCGTATTCTTGGCCTCACTTGAGTGAGTGGTTTAAACGATTTTGTATGGCTTGCCGAATTTGTGTGACTAGACAGATACCGTGCTGTTAGATTTGTTCTCCTAATATTCCACCAGCTTGACCCGCGCTACTGCAGCTGTTGCAGCAGGCCTTTGTTTTTCTTTGACATCCTTTCTCAAAGTTGAAACTATGAAAAACCCCAATTATTTTTATGATTAGTGCCTATGTGAGTATTGATGTTAATGCTACATGAGAGGGCAGAGTGAAAGTTGAGACGGAGAGACTAGAGATAATTGGGGAGCTTGGATTTACGGACAGGGACGGGTTAGGGATTTGGAGCTTTTGCCATCAGGGGATGGTTAAATGAATATGATTAGTGTGCCGTATCTGGATTAAATCTGACCAGAAACCCCTTTGTTGGGCATATATTTATTCTAAATATTTAATATTGGTCCACATTAGGAGAATGGGAACTAGCAGATGTTCTTGAATCATGAATGGGTGAGTATGTTGAAGTATCTGAAGTTATTGTTACTGCACGCCGTGGGCATTGGGTTTTAACTTCTAACTGACTTCATATGTGACTCACACAGTTATTTTCTATATTTACTAATTGTTTCATACCGATTCTTTTAGTAAATGGCCTTTCCCGTCGTTGGTGTCTCCATCTCTATTTTATTGTATCCGTTGTAGTGTAGCCCTTCTGTCTGTGCTCTCTTTTTGCGGGCTGAATTGTTCATGCACTAATATATACAATAATACAAGTGAATGCAAAAATATATACC